CGTGTAATTATACAACACGCTACTGAAGTGAAACTTCTTCAAACACACAAACATACCGGGATAGGGGTTAAGGAATTGGTTTAATGGTATTATTTGTAGACTATGCTTCGCACGGATGCAATGCTGATAGTAAATATACTATAGAATGTCTTTATATACAACAATCACAGCTTTTTTGTCATTAGACAATACAAATCGGCCGGTACCGCCGCAACCGCTATGTCCCTGTATTTTAAATCCGTAATATCTTCGAAAATATTCGTTTAAATTACATGCTGTAAAGGGCTATATTGATCTATATTAAATGCACAATGTATAGTATTTAAAAGTATTTAATTGGATAAGGATTAATACTGTATTGCTTAAAATCGCTTCGTAAATAAGCCATTATTTCTCGTAAAAATTACATGCTGTAGAGGGCCATATTGATCTATATTAAATGCACAATGTATTTAAGGTACTTAATTGGATAAGGATTAATGCTGTGTTGCTTAAAATTGCTTCGTAAATAAGCCACTATTTCTCGTAAAAAGTAAAGGATAAAAAATGGCTATTGTGGATTATCCTTAAGAGATCGACATATACCATCGCAGACTTTTTTGTAGACCTTTTTAAGGTGTACAATACTGTAGTATATTATTTTGATCTACTTCATAGGGTAAACCTCATTACACATATTAACCTTCCTCTTGAATTACTCTATCTATTAAAGGAAACCGCATTAAAATCTGCTGCGTAGTTTTAAAGATCTAGGCATACATAGGGACAGACAGCGGGGGAAATGCGTTGCATGATTTCGTTACATAGCAGCTCGCATGAAACGAACTTACCCTACCGTGCGTAAAGAAGTTTCACTTCAAAAATGAAATTTTTTTTTTAATATTACTGCTTCGGATGGCTGTGATGGTGTTGTTTCACTCCTTGTGGCTCTGCTTTCGGTTTCTGTTGCACCTCTTGTTGCATCTCTTGTTGCACTTTCTGCGTAAGAACTTGGACTAGCCTCCCTTACCTCTCCACCCTAAATTTTGAATAAATGCTGATTTACTAATGTATGTACTATTAATCTCTCCAACTTTTTGTTATTCTTTATCGGAGCATTTCCCTAGACATTTCATCATTTGTAAATCGTCAGCTGTAAACAATCAGCTACCCATAACTAAAGTTTACAGCTACGCTTGAAACTAGCGACAATAATCTAGATGGGAAAACGGCCTTGTCTGATTTCTTCAATATTATCTATAAAACGATACACCTACTGTTAATTTCCTGAGAAGGAACATTTTTAACGATATTAAGGAAAAATTAAAGTAGACTTTCAGTACCTACTTAAACATATTCACAACAGGTAATCTTCTATTTTAAAGCTTAACTACTGAATCGATACTTTTTATTCTTACAGTTCTCACACTAAAAGGAAATTGTCATAATAAAAAATCATTCCCGAAATACTTCCTACGTTGTCTTTAAATGATTGTCCATATTTTTCAATTTCTTTTATTGTTGTGCTCCAAAGATGTTAACACAGCAATCTTTGTTTTTGGATGCCACCTGCTAGCATTATTTTTAATTTGAAAGAGTTTACTGCAACTTATTGTGAGGGAGCAGTATAAGGGTTTCTAATTATACGCTTCATTAAACGGTTTGAGAATAGATGTAAAACAAATACATTAGTATTTGGGTCAAGGTTTAGCAGCTATCGTTAATGTAGTCGTGGTTTTTGTTGCTGCTGTGGACAGTAGAGATCTGACTAAATATTCTTGCACCTTTGCTAATAGTGAAATGAATCTGGACCAACTGTGGTTTAAATTGTTCAATTTAAGACAACGTTTTTGATCCCTTCTTTGGCTGTGCTGTGCGCAGGCTGCTGTGCGATTGCGATTACGGTTAGCAAACCAATAAGGTATACTGTAAGGAATTTTTCTTGTATTTATTGTATTTATTTCTCGTCTGTTTATATTAGTTATTTATTTAAACGTAAGACTATTTAGATATTTAAAATACTTCTTATTTATGTTAGACAGTATTTATAATTCTCTTGTTCTTGTCTATTTATTTATACCACTTGCTGTTCGCCTCACATCTTTTATGTATACTGCTGATCAGCTATTCATATACTAACTCCGGCTAACATCCGGAGGCCTGTTTATACTACCATCGAATTCTTCCGAACAATCTCCATCCTTCTCGAAAATTCAGAGTATGATCTATTGCCCTCCACGTCTCTAGTATAAAGGTTGTCGATCATCTGCCGGCCCTTGTCTCCAGCCATACTCAACAGCCGTCGGGAACCAATTGTAAACAATTGCAAGGCGACTGCAAATTTCAGGGCAGCCGACGACTCGTAATTATCAGCCTAAAGGGTGTCACTCTGTCTTGCATTCGAACGACAACCGATGAAAGACGTTGCCCGATCCTGTTCTTAGAATGTTGTTATGTTACAAGAGAAAACGACTTCTACCCCAAAACCGAGGCATATTTATTCTTGTTCGAAAGTATAAACTCTGACATTCTGACTTTACCTCTTGTTGTGTGTATGCGTATGCTGGAAGTGTTTATATTTCGAGCAAGATAAGAAAAATATATGTCTGTAGGAGCATGCATTGTAAGGATACATCACATCCGCTAAGTTTGGATTCATATCAGTTGTTAATATGTTTGACCTGCCTATTTGTTATAAATCAAAACAGCTAACTGTACGAGATGAATTATGTATTGAAGATGTTCAATGTGAACATACCGAAAATATTTTAATAACTAAATTATGGTCAGCATGGTTGCCGCCCTCCAAACACCCACCCATTCATAAAAACGTCCACCCAAATAATGACTGAATAATTACTTGGCATGCTCAAAGCATGAGAAGTAAATTAACTGAACTCGAACACTTCCTCGAGGTACAGTCAATCGATGTTGCCTACATCACCGAAACTCACTTATCGTAGAAAGTCAAATTTTAGTCCCAAACTTCANAGCTGTTATTTAAAAATAATATTTTATTATACAATAATTTAAATACTAATATACCACAGAACAATAAGAAAATGTATCAAAAGGTCATAACATCGAAATCACCCGGTAAGGGACAGGACGGCACATTTTCATTCACTTTTCTTCTTCAGAACTTTATTTTCGTACTGCATCTGTTCTAAGCTAATGCTTACATCCGTGTAACAGTCCTTTAACTTTTTATTTTCTTTTTTAAGGCATTTCAGTTTCTCCATGCACATACTTTGTTTCTCGGTTACTTTATCAAACATAGTGTAATGTTTACATAATTCTTCATTGATTTTCTCTATCGCAGCCCTTGACGTTATTAATAAATTCTTCAAATGTATATCCCCTGTGGCATCAGCAATTTCGTTTGCAGCGGTTCTTAAACTTTCATTCTCCTCGACAACTGTATAAAGCTTTTGTTCCATCTTATCATGAATTGTTCTATTAACTTGGTCCTTTTGCATGGCGAACGCTTTAAGTTTGTCAATAATTTCGTCCTTTCTATCCAATTCGCATTTGAGTTTGTTGCACGTGTCTATTTTCACTGTAAGATCGTTTCTTAGATGCTTTAAAGCACATTGGAGTCTATCAACCGATTGAGTTCGCCATCCGCCTTCCTTATGTGAACAACTCGGTTGATCGTCTGAATTCGAACAGTCGTTGGAGTCCTTAAGACGGCCCTCCTTTTTCCTAAGGTTGGATATCTCGGCATCTTTTTGCTGGATCTGTTTTTCTAAGTGTTTGTTTCTGCATTTCAGGGATTTGACCTCTTTACTCATGTCACATATCGTCTGTCGCAACTGTTCTTCCAAGCTCGATAGTTGTCGTTCCGATGATGAAATTACTTGATTCTTTTTGTTCAGTTCACCTTGAATTTGTTCTAAAACTTGACGCTATGAAACGGAAATTAAGTATCAATAATCTGCTGGACGATAAACGAATGTTTTTTTTTAAATCAAATCGTTTAAAAAGTTTTATTTACATTTACTATTCAATTTTGTAGTACCAACAAGCTCTTACATTGCCTATTGTCAAAAACTTCATAAAATTTTAAAATTAATGGTCATAATCAAGTGCATGAAATAAGTCAAAATGGAATTTGTTTTTGTCGATTACTTTGATATTCTAAATGTAACAGCAGCGACATTTTTTTATGCAAGATCGTTAAGGACTATTGAAATTGGTATTAATCTTGTTCGAATTTATTACGGTTTCTACAATTGTTTCAACACAATTATATGTCTTCTGCTTTTTATATAATTTTTTCCCCGATCAATTTTAATATTTTCACTTTTCTCCAGGATTTCAGAGTCGATTGCTATAAAATAATTTTATTTGTCGAGAATAAACGATATAGAACATCAGTAATATACTGTTTACTCTAGAAAAGGACCATTACATCGAAACAATTGTAGAAAAAAAATTTTTTATTTCATTATCAAAAATTCGAAAGATATCACAAACTTTTACGTTCTAAGCATTGAGCATTGTAAAACATTCTAAAAAGAACCTCACTCATTCTACCTACTGGCAACCTAATTTTAGATTTAACAGACAGACAGCCAGGGCATAGGGTGAAGGTGCCTTATTTTTTAAGATTTACAGAAATGTAGAATTTCACAACAAATTTTCCTGCTTTTTTCATTTCTAACATAAAAAATATGCATTTTTATTATTTTAATAAAAATTACGTTGTCTTTAAATGACGTCGAACGAACGTCAATATGTAGGTCACCAATTAATTTTACCTCCGATAGCTTACAGTTTTTCCCTAGACAAAATTTTTCAGTCTCTCTCCAGTCTCTCAGTGTCTTTCAGCGTCTCTGAGAGCGTCTCACACAATCTCTAAGTTATTGCCTAGGTGTTTTTGTGGATCTCTCACAGTCTCTGTATGAGAGACTCGAACGATAAAATTGTTAATTCAGAGATTCGAGTCTCTCACAGAGAGACTGAATAAATAAAACTGAAAAATTGAGAGACTCGAGTCTCTCGTAGAAAGACTAGGATCTCTGAAGTATGTTCAACTATAAAATTTTAACCATGCCTAATTGAGAGATTCGAGTCTCTCGTTCAGAGATTCGAGTCTCGTTCAGAGACTGGATACGAAATGAGGATCTCTCTATGAGCAACTCGAGTCTCTTGTTCAGAGACGCTAAACAGTTTTTTTGATAGTCTCTCGACAGTCTCTCTCAGCGACATCAGAGAGACTCGATGAGAGACGGAGACTCGAGTCTCGCTTTCAGAGACTCTGAGAGACTGAACATTTTTATCTCGGGTTGCTTAAACATCTTCCGAAATAATGAGAACCATTCATGATTTTTCGTGTTTTTTGCAATAATTTTACTCTTCACTCTACCCCTTCTGTGACGTGCCCTCCCACCAGGAATTTAATTAAGAATTTCAGGGTCTGAATTTCTGTAAATTTTTCAACACTATCTCTTATAACTGCAAGCCAAATTTCCTCTCAATATTTTATACAAATCCGACCAATGTTATTGTTAATCACATCCATTGCAATATACTATGAATAAACCAAACATTTAAAATTATCGTTACAGAATTCTCTTTATGTGAAAATGTAATAATTCAATCGAAGTTAGGCTTCACAACTTTTTTACGACTTTCTCTTTTTTACCTCGAACTTTGCCCATAGTTCAGTTAGAAAAATCATAGCCAATTATAGTTTCAATTTACAAAAAGTACAACTCATAACTCGAAAATTTTACAAGATACAAAGTTTACTACTACAGAATATGTCTTGATGAGAATATATGAAACTTTTTTACTTTCATAAGGACAGATGTATAAAATTGAAAAAGAAAAATAGATGTTTTCTAATAATGTCACTGAATAAATCTCAAAAAAAAAAAAATGAATTAATACTAAATCAATTGTAGTCTAACCCTTTTCTAAAATTTAAATTGATTCACCCTGCAAATACCTGTTGTTCTTGTTCTCCGCCAGTTAGTTTCTCTATTTGCATAACCAATTTCTGAATTTCATTTTCCTGATCTTGGATGCAAAGTTCAAATTGTCCTAGTTGCTCCATCATCTCTTCCTTTTCGGCTTCGATCAATTTAGCGTTCGAAACTTGCTCCCTTAAAGCATCGCATTCAGATTCCATCGCCACCAGCTCCCTGTACTTCGCCTTGTACAAATCTCGTTCCGCTCTGATCGTTTCGAAACAACGAAGCTTGTCAAGACATTGTCTATACTCGCATTCAATATGAGCTAATTCATCCACTTTGGCTTGCAGCTGATCTCTCTCTTCTTGAATCGAATCCGTCAAACTTGCTTTGCTTGACAAATTCTCTATAAGATCTTCGGAATTTGCGAGTTTGCCTTTCATTGCTTCTTTGGACTTTCTGCATTTTCTTAATTCGGCTCGGCATTTTCCTAATTGCTTTTCCAGTGCTGCCGCTTTGTTACATTCGTACTTGAGTTTGCACACTTGTTCTTCGAGTTTCTGGAGTTTTTGAAGGCGTGCCTGTACGCTTCGTCGTTCGTTAGAGATGTCATCCATTTTGCTGCATTTCTTTTTAAATTCTTTGACTTGATTCGGTAGTCCTTGCATACAGGCCATTTTTAGTTCAAGATTGTGCACTTTTTCTCGTAAACAGTCTCTTTCTTGAACCACTTCCTCATAGCATTTGACCTTTTGTATCAATTTGGCACAGTAACCTTCTGCTTTTTCCTTATTTCCAGTAGCAATATTTGCCTGCTCAATTTCATGTTCCAATTTACATACCCTTTTCCTAAGACAGTTTCTTTCGTGTATGACCTCGTCGTAATATTTAAGTTTTTGCCTAGTTTCAAAATCTGCAGTTGTGAGTAATTCTCTTTGTAACTGACACACTTTTGATTTAAGACACTGCCTTTCCTTGGCCACTGTTTCGTGGTGATTCCACAATTCTTCTAGTAGGTCTTTCACCGATTGCAGTTCTTTCTGATCTTTTTGGCACTTTTCAAGCTCGCACTCTAAATGGCACACGTGTGATTTAAGCCAATCTCTTTCTTGAGTAATGTCCTCACATGTGGCAGTTAACTCTGTCATTTCATCTTGTACTTTGCACAGTTTAGCTTTTGAACATGCCATTTCATTTATATAATTTGAGGCGGTACAAGAAATTTCGTTCGCTTCCTTTTCCATGCTTTCAACTTGTTTTTTGAGAAGGGCGTTTTCACATATTGACGCATCCATCTCCTTTCCGTGCTCCTCTAATATTATTTGATTTTATTATACATAAATTGACAAAACAACCAACATAATATTGCGCTATTTAGAATTCAAAACAATTTAAAATAGATTTGCTGTTTTTTAATTTTTTTTTATATTTTTCTATACATATAAAGACATACTTGAATGTTTGCAAAATACTATACTATTAAAGTTTGATTAAAAATTATTAATATTCAATGTAAATACTATACAATTTATTTCAAAATTCTCACTGCAAGAAGAATTTAGTCATAAATTTCTTTTTTTTTTGCAGGATTGTACAGTTATTATAAAATTTGTTACGAAAGAATATTACATATTGAGATATTAAGAAAATGAGCTCATTTAAAATAAAATGTGTCATACCTTGGCAAGCTTCTAGTTCAGCCTTTAAACTTTCGTTTTCTGCTTCCAAGGAACTCAGCCGTTCACATAACACCTTCATATTTTCAACTTCTTCAACAAGGAGTTGAAATTGTTCTTCTGGTGATAAATCTCCTTTAGCTATTTTGGCTTCAATGGTTTGAACTTCCTGAGTGCAAATGTCCTTTCCTTCACCTCCTTTACTACCCTACATTTTGAACGAATAGTATAATATAGATAGATAGACCGCATATGACTACCTGTATCCACTAATTACTAACTTTTTTATTTATAAGGTATATCTAAATCTAATTGGTTAAAGCCAATAATTTACTAATTTTAATATATCATTAGAGAGTAATTTAATATTCAACTTGCTTTAATTCAGTCAAACAATCTACCAAAAGATGGCATAGGCACATAAAACACTATTGTTTAAATTACAATTTGATTTTTAATTTTACTTAGCAATTGCTTCTTCAGAAGTTTATCACTTAAGTAGGTACTTATAAAATCAAGTAACATTAAAAATCTTTTAGTTTTATTTTATTTTTAAGTGTTCATAATGGATTTCAACCAAATTGCAGTATAGTCTATTTTATATATCTATTATAAAAGACATATTTATAATCACATAAGTTAAATCGGCGAACAGTAATATACGAGTTATAATCAACGCCTAATAATTATGTTTAATGCAGTTGTAGTATAAATGTGAACATTAACGAATTAATAGTTAGTAGACATATTTATTTTTTCGCACTATACAAAATATACTAGGATATTTTTAGTTTTATTTGTGGCAGCTTTAGTGTGGAGATCAAAAGAACACTTTGTATTTTCTCTTAAATTTTTTAATCAAGGTATATTGCAAGTTTATCTACATTGAAATTGTAACTGCACCTAATTCAATTTAATTAATTACCAGACGTCTAAATTATCTCACTCACCCCCGTACTACTATAATTACTACTACTTTCTTTATTACTATACCTTATGTACTACGTCTGAACTAGCAGGTTCTTCACTGTCCCCGGCAGTTATGCCTTCAACTCCCTGAAACACATTAAATACAGTAAAAATTTGTTTTCTATTTAATTTCTAACACTACTCTAACTCTAATTTATTGTTATGAAACCATTGTGAGTAATACGTTATTGAACTTATTAGGCATTTAAGACCACTCATCCCCCCTAATTACTACTACGTTTTTTGTTACCATACCTCATTTATGTCTGAACTGTCAGGTAGTACAGTGTCCGCGGCAGTTACGCGTTCGACTCCCTGAAACATATTAAATAAATTAAAAAGTTGTTTTTTATTTAATTTCTAACACTGCTCTAACTCTATTTTATTTTTATAAAACCTTTGTGTCAAGTTCGTTTCTGAACTTACTAAGCATTTAGGACCAATAAGAAATAAGGCTCATCATTTAAAATTCGCGCAAAATGAGTTAAACGTTTGTGAAGGTATACTTCATTTACTTTCTCTAGCGATGTGCCTCTTCCAATGTCTTGGATGCGCGCTGGCAAAATCGTAGGTAGGGAGAAAAAAGCTCATTATACTCTCGACTCTTGTTCATTAAACATACTTCTTCGTACAGTACCTGCCAAAAGTTTTGTTCAATCATGAATAGTAGTACGAGTCGAAAACAAGCGTTAAAGCCTTTAATATGTCTTCAAATATAAATAAACATCTCGTTGATATTTTCAGTAGTAAATGGTACCAATAACAGCACATTTGAGCAATGCAATTGTAGTGGATAAAACAGTCAATTTTTCCGTGCAGTACTGTACGGATTATACGCTCTTCACCGGTTAAGAGTTTGGCCGAGAGTTGTCTCCTTCTTTGTTTGGCCTAGTGCTGTTCTTTTCTACTTTGCGTCGGTCCAACTGAAGGTCACATCGCTACAGAAAGTAAACGAAGTATAATGGTTTCAATTAACTCACCATCTTTAAGTTACCGGCTTGAGTAGACTTCACAGAACTAACTTGTTTTGCTTGCACCCCTTTAGTGGAGTCGACTTTCATTGCGTCTGAACGACCCTGTAAGCAAAGTCCTCTCAGTAACTCTCAAATTAGGAATCTCACAATTTACTCTAAAACATAGACAACAATCTTACTGTTCCCATCTTCTTTTTTTGGTCGTCTGTAAGTAAACTGTTCATTTCCTGTAAACGTCTCTTTAAATCTGCAAGTAGTAGTTCTAACAAAACTTCGAACGGAATGTATCTTCCTAGACTCATCTACAAAAAGGATTAAGGACTTTGTAACATTTTTGTCTGAACTATAGTTTCAGTTCATAGAGTTTTCAGTCCATTACTTTTACTTGTTATTAAACAATATCTTTTTGGAATTTGTATACGTAAAAGGTTATTTGATAAGGTACAGAAACCCTTATATAATATTACCCTTCTTTCCTTAAGTAAAAGCTCTAAAATATATTGCCTTCTATCTTCACATTCGTCAGTCCAACATCTAGCATCTGTCGCAGATCTATAGGCTTTTAAGCGTCCTTCGGATCTCCTAGGCAGCAACTCCTCGAAGCCTTCATCTTTAAAACAGTTAGCTTTTTTTGCTACGTACGACATTTTCGTGGCTGTTCAAGTACAGAAATTTCGAACTAATCCCTATCTATTTCACTTCGTTCTGCAACTTAATTTTAAAGTTTGATAGTGTCAATACACAACTGACATCAATAATTTAAGTCGTGATTTGTCATTTACTAATTACTTGTTTTCGTCCATGGAAACCGCTTGCAAACACTAGAGCTAGAAGTAAACATAAAAGTTTTGGAAATAATCCTGTTCTGTCCAGTCCTCTACTGGCCTGTCCTGCATCGTCCTGTCCCGTACCGCCCTCTTCCCGTCCCGTTCCCGGAACAGAACATGAAAGGCGTGTAAACAGTAGTAGTAACCATCCCTTTTATTGAAAATTTTCGAATAATGGATGATTTAGTTTAATTTAGATACTTATTACGAGATGGAGAAAGAGCCAAGTGTTTTTCACAATATATAGCTTTAGTATTGTTATGAATTTAATTACAGTTACTAATACAAATGTTTTGTGTAACACGTAGAAAAACTGTTGAAATAATTACAGTTGAGATGGTGTAATTTTATTATTTACTTATTGTAAACTTACTTACGAAATGTTTTTTCGTTTTAGATAAGTTTACAATAATAACTGTGGTAATACATAATTCGCAAAATTTTATATTTTACTGTTTCTGGGCCGGGTACAGATAGCATCTCATCCATTGTACAAACTTTTGTACTATATGTTCGTTATGTAATTCTGGCTGAATAAGTAATTTAAGATAATAAGTTTAAAGTTTTTGAAAATTAATATTTTGTTTTGTTTACAGCTACCTAGAATATCCTTTCTCAATTGTGGAGCATTGTTGAGACACCTAAATGATAGAAATGTCATGGATTAATCAACTAATGATGGTAAGTTAAAAAAAAAAACTAATTTTCTGTTGTTATAAAAAATAGGTACGGTGTATGTACCACATCTGCGTTCTTTTTTAGTTTTACACTTGGATTATTCTTTTTTCTTTTTATTGTTCGGAAAGCTGTCTATTAGTTTTCAAAATATATATATATATATAT